AATGGCCAGCATTCCTCCTGTGCAAGTCTGGGCACTTGGGTGCTGCTGGTGTCTCCACCACCAACACCCTCCCCCATCCCCACCATAAGGGTCAGGTCTACTCAAAGAAGGGACTTTTGGACCCTCTCATCTTCCTTTCCCTCCCATTTCTATTAGGTCCCAGTTCCATGCCCAGAGCAAGATTTGCAGCAGACCTCACACACCATGTGAAAAGATGCCTTAGGGGCATTACCTTCTTCCCAGCACCCCTGCTTCCTGCTAAATCCTCTGGAGACTTAGCCATGCAACAGCCACTTCAACAGGTGGCTCTGCCTGCTGTGCCTGCCTCTGAGGTGGCATGAGGGTCTTGCCCTCCCACAGAGCCAAGATGCTGTTCTGGGTGCAGGCTGGGTGCTGGCAGGTCACTCATGGGGCAAAGGCCAGGGATCTGGCCCCCTCTCAAAGCCTGTGCCAGCTTTGCCTGTTGGCTGACAGGCCATGAGGCTGCTCAGAAGCCATTCCCTCCACCAATGGGAAGCAGTGAGCAAGGAGTCCTACCAGGAGGTAGCACGACCGCACCCTGCCCAAAGGCTGGCACATCCCACACCACTGCCCCTCCAACCGAGTTGGCCTCCCAGCAAGTCATCCTCTCCCCGAGGAGAGGGAGGTGCTGGCTGGCTCCAGCCCAGGATCTGCACAGAAGATGTGTGGGCTGTGAGCTCACCCCTGCTCAGCAGCAAGAAGGAAGAGGCTGGGCTTTGTGCAAGCCAAATCCCCAGGGCTTTGAGATGGCTGAGAGGAGAAGACAAGAGGACAACAGTTTTTCACAGACCTGCCACCACCCTGTGGACAGACCCTGCAGCTGGGCTGCTTCCAGCCCTGCTCTCCCATGGCTGGCACTGCTCAGTCCCAAGGCCCTGCACTTGCCTCACACCACCCAGATGCATCTCCCGCTGATGTCCAGCCACTAACTGACCACCTTGAGACAAATAAGTGCTACAGAGGGGTTTGGGCTCAGGAAGTGGATCACAGGTCTCCCTGGCAATTAAATAAGGGACAATTGGTTATGCACTTGGTGCAATAAGGTAAATGGATGCCTGAAAGGAAGCAGCCTTGATTTGTACTCAGCAAAAAGAGGAGCCAGCCATCTGAGGAAGGATTTTAAGCCCCTTGGTGAAAAGTGATGAAGGCTAGAAAAGAAAAAAGGTTGAGAGACAGAGCAGTGACTGCAGGAGAAGAAAGTCCTTTGTGGACCAGAGAGGTTACAGCAAG